TGTAATAACTACTACTGTCCCCGTCTCTCCCTCCTTCTCTCTCCTTCTCTCTCTCTCTCTCTCTCTCTCTCTCTCTCTCTCTCTCTCTCTTTCTCTCTTTCTCTCCCTCTCTTTCTCTCTCTCTCTCTCTCTCCCTCTCTCTCCCCCTTCTCTCTCTCTCTCTTCCACCTTACACACTCTCTCTTTCTCTTCCTTTCTCTTTCATCACTTCACTCTTTCTCCTTCCCTCCCCCACCTCGCTCTCACGCTCGTTCTCTCCCTCTTTTTCTTTTATTACGCACAGGTTTGCTCGGTCTACGCTCTCACGAGCGCTCTTATCTCCCTATCCTTCTCTCTCCGCCTTTTCTCACTTTTCATTTCCCCCTTTCTCTCACTCCCACTCGCGTGCTCGTCTTCTCTTTTTCGCCGCTTTCCTCTTCTTCCCGCTTCCATTATTTTTTCTCTCTTTATCACTTTCTTTCGCGCGCTCTCTCTCACTGTCTCTTTTTTCACTCTCTCTCTCGTGCTTCCTCCCACTCGCCCTATCTCACACTATTCATATCTCAGCCAGCGCGCTTTCTTTATCAAACTATTATTATGCTCTCCCTTTATACTTTGTTCGCTTCTTCTCGCCTCATGGAGGTATCAATCATCAGACGTATATATAAACACTACAACCCACGTAACTTAAAGAAAAACTCATGAATCCCTTTTAACCTCTTTTCCACCCTTTGAACGGCGATAGCAGTAAAAAAACGCATAAAGCACTATAACTGATGCGCCGGGGGTACTAACCGGTTAAGAGACACTTTCTCATGCATGCAGTTTACTTTAAGCGTAAAGCTGACAGTGCGAATGAAAACCCTGGTCTGCGGATAAATTACCATAGCTCGCGGCGTTATTGCGTCTTTATCGATTGGAAAATATTAATTACTAACAGCTAGAAATTCACTCATCCATCGAGCTCTTTCGCTTTTGCGCCAGCGCCTCTTTCATATGCAGATGAGTGAAATGTGAAGACCTTAGCTCAATATAATAAATCACGGACGACGAAATTGTGATTGTCTGCATGCGTGCGCACGCAAGCTATATATATATATATATATATATATATATATATATATATATATATATATGGCAGTCTGTAGCGGCTAGAAGAAAGCCACATCTCTCCCGCGGGAAGGGATCAGGTGTCTTCTGCGTGAACTAATGAAGCTCAACGATAATCGGACGCGCGATAAAAGAACTCACTGAGAACAACTTCGCGGCGGCCGTCGCCGTGAAATGTAGAGCCATCACCGCAGACGTATATCGCCCCGTTAGAATCCTGACAAGAGCCTCGCTGTCTCGGTTGTCAGACGAGTATATCGTGTCGGCGCGTGGCGATACGTGCTGCACCTGCACGACGGACGCAGCTGGCGGCTGTGTGAGCTAGCAGCGAAATATTCCTACATATGCCATCGACGGACATTTAATGTCTATGCGCGATGATAGATCGAAAATGAGGGTGCGACACGCGAAGCCGGAAAACAGATAGTTACGCACACACGCACGCACGCACGCACGCGGATAGATAGATAGATAGATAGATAGATAGATAGATAGATAGATAGATAGATAGATAGATAGATAGATAGATAGATATAGATAGATAGATAGATA